AGACAGACAGGTCACACAGCTGTTCACCTGCAGAGAGAGAGACAGACAGGTCACACAACTGTTCACCTGTAGAGAGAGAGAGACAGACAGGTCAGACAGCTGTTCACCTGCAGAGAGAGAGACAGACAGGTCACACAGCTGTTCACCTGCAGAGAGAGAGACAGACAGGTCACACAACTGTTCACCTGTAGAGAGAGAGAGACAGACAGGTCAGACAGCTGTTCACCTGCAGAGAGAGAGACAGACAGGTCACACAGCTGTTCACCTGCAGAGAGAGAGACAGACAGGTCAGACAGCTGTTCACCTGTAGAGAGAGAGAGACAGACAGGTCACACAGCTGTTCACCTGCAGAGAGAGAGACAGACAGGTCACACAACTGTTCACCTGTAGAGAGAGAGAGACAGACAGGTCAGACAGCTGTTCACCTGCAGAGAGAGAGACAGACAGGTCACACAGCTGTTCACCTGCAGAGAGAGAGACAGACAGGTCAGACAGCTGTTCACCTGCAGAGAGAGAGACAGACAGGTCACACAGCTGTTCACCTGCAGAGAGAGAGACAGACAGGTGAGGACAGATGGGTCAGAGGGGCAGGACTAAAGACATACTTGCAGTGGTAGGCGGAGCCAGCATGGTGTGGTTGACGCGGAGCAGGAAGTTCAGCACCGTCTCCCAGGTGTCTCTGCTCATCACAGCGCTCTCTCTGGCCAATGACTGAACTGCACACAACACCTGCTGACAGAGAGACAGGTAGACCGGGCTCACCTGGTCCGACCTGGAGGGAGGAGGGGGAGGGATTTATAAACATTTATATGGTACAGTAAGTCAGGGGTCCAGGTGTGGTGGTGTACCTGGGCAGGAACAGGCTGTACAGGTGTCTGAGGATCTTCTGGACGTACAGGTTGGGATCTCGGCTGATTGGAGGAGGGATGGAGTCTCTCGGGGAAACCAGCGCCGTCAGCCAATCGGTGTAGACGTCCACACAGTGTTTGACCGTGTCTCCGTCCAACGGTAGAGCCAAACCGTAACACAACACCTCCATCGTCCACTTCACCTGAAAACACACACACAGGTTTAACATTGACCAATCAGAGCGTCGCCATCAAGCTGCTGTAGAGACGTTTTCATTTCAGACTTGTTTATAGATCCGGTTTATAGAAACGCCTCAGGAGTTAACTTGAAGGATTGTTGTCAGAGGAAGTTTAAACGGATGATCTGTGTTTTTGTTACTTTGTCAACCACCAGCGTTATAAATAAAGAACTCATTGAACCGACAGAGTGAATCATTTTTAGACTCGACATGTTGAGTAAACTCTGAATGCAGATTACACATCAACACTTCAGTGTTTGTGTACAGTTTCCATGGAGGCAACACACACACCTGTCTGTCTGTGTGAAGCAGGCTGCGACTGTCAGGGTTTCCAAGGCCAAGGTGAAGGGGCTTAACCACAGCTACAGCAACATCCTTGCCCACATTAGACGGGAAACAACTGAGCACGCTCACATCGCCCCGTCCACTGGACGGTGATTGGTCCATGACTCCAATCACAGCTGCTCACCTGAGAGAGAGAGAGTTTAATTCATGTGACCTTTTTCTTGTTTCGTTATTTTGTCGTCTTGGTAGATTCTGGATTTGTTTGGACCAGAGAAGGTAGACGGTTTTAAGACACGCCCCCACACGGCCGTTTTGGACGCCCCTCAGTTTGTCAGATATGAGAGCAGTTATCAGGTCAACAGGTGTTGCAGCGATGGAAGCGGTCAAGTGAAGTGGTTCAGATAGAAGTGATTGTACCCGACCTAAAAAGCCTCTGCATGTTTCTAATAAGCTCCACGAGCAGAAACGTGCTCAAACTAGGATCAATATTGGAGATGCTTTTGAAAAATGGAGAGAGGTTAGAACACAGAAAGGTTTACAGACCCATGCAGAGCTGGATAAACACTGAAGCTTCAGAGTCCACCACATGGTGACCTGAGTGAGCATCCACTCTAGAGAGGAGTGGGGGGGGAGACAGCTCTCTATGATGTTTAGAATTTAGACTGCAGTACCCATTTTAACCACTAAGGGTCAGAGTTACATACTGCTCCTTTAAAGTCTCAGTCCGTGCTTTAATGACTCTGACATTCAGCCTGCAGAATCATCATTAATATTGACTCTGACGTGTTACACCTTCTGATATTTGACTTCGTTATGAGGAGATCTTTTATTATTTATTCAGTGTTCGTTGTTCTTGTTGAAAAATATCTCCTTACAGGACGTTAAACCCAGTGAAGAGTGTGTGATGAAACCTTTAATCAGTAACATGAACTCAGCTGACACACAAACTGATTAACATGTTTCTCTGATCACACTTTAACAGACGCAGGAGGGATGAACACTTTCACATCGTCGTCGCACGTCACGGTTCCCAACCTTTTTTACGTTGGAGCCCTGCCAATTGTATCTTAGAAAAGCTAACCCCTACCCTGCCCCCTCCTGACCCCTTCCGACCCCCCAGGAAGTGAATGAAAAAAATGACACAGTGCTCTTAAAAACGTACGTAATTGTTTACATTGACAAAAGAGTAAGCCTACAGGTACTTATAAAGACCTTTGGATGTGAGTTATATGTGCAGATCTTATTTTGAGAGCCTCACAAGACCTTTGGGTACCCGAACCCCAGGTTGGGAACAAGTGGTCTAACTTGATGGAGGACGATGATTAAAGCCTCAGTTAGTGATAATAAGGAGCTCAGGTCACATGGAGGATATGAGAGGTAGACCTGCAGGTCAGACTCCGGTTATAACTATTAAACACATGCTCACCCTGTCATCAGTTACAGCTAAAAATAATAATGTTAAATACAATAACTATTAAAATGAATGTTATTTCATGCTCTTAATTTAAATCAAACAAAATAAAAATTATCTAATCTTAGTTAATTATTAATCTCTCTTTGATTTTAAAATGTTCCCTTTAGTTATTCTCAGTTTTTAAAACAAAACATGTTCAGTTTAATTCACAGGTGAAGGTGTCGTACCTGCTCAGGTGAGTCCTCGGTTCTCTCTCTGATCCCCAGGTGAGCTCACATGCTAACACACTGAACTGTGAAAACAGTCAGGTCACTCTGAAAGTCAAAAACTCACCTGCTGCTGGTGCCTTCAGAGACGGCTGGGTAACTTCACACTGTGTTCCTCAGCAGGAGAGAGGAGCTGATGTGTCGTCTTCTCCCCAAACTTGACTGCCAGGCTCAGACTTCATGTGTACACTAACGCTGAATCAGTTTACTGTCAATAAACAAACTGAACCAGTTTAAGTGTCTCACTCTGTCCCAGAGAGTGAGACAGGCCGACGATGTTTACACACACACGCACTCCTGGAAATTTCAGGACTGGCTGCAGCTGAAATCTTCCCACGTTGGTCTTCGGATGGTCCCAGTTTCCACGTCGACAGTGTGATGTTGTTCTTCCGACTTCAGTGTGTTGACATCAGTTTGATAAGTCATTTAACAAAACTATCAAATCAGGTTTAAAGGTGACATATCCTCCTCCTCTTCTTCAGTGTAAATAAGTCTCAGATCTCCTCAAAACATGTGTGTGAAGTTTCTTGTTCTAAATCCACTCTGATCCTGTATTTGATCATGTCTATAAACCCCTCTATTTCAGCCCTGCTCAGAACAGGCTGTTTCTGTGTCTGTACCTTTAAATATGTAAATGAGCTGTGTCTGACCACACCCCCTCTCTGGAAGGGCTTGGTGTCTCTCTGCTTTATCTCTCCATGTCCTATTGTTTACGGTGAGAAGGCAGACTCAGAGGGCAGAGCAAACACCTAGATGTGGGAGTGTCACCCACCTGGGGGAGGGGCTACTGCCCTTTGTGATGTCATGAAGGGATAAATCTCCAAACGGCCTGTTTGAGCACACATTTTCTGAAAAGTGGAGAAGGCAGAAGACGGAGAGGATGGACTTTTCTCATCATTGGGGGGTTTGTAGACGGACTAGAGACACATGTTAGAGTTAGAGGAACATGGAGAAGTAGTTATTAAAGGAAACATTTTTATTTGCAGCTGAAGTTGAAATAAAAATAGAATCAAGTTTGAGATTAATACTTTTATTTCCCTTTTAAAAATCAACAAACACCCAAAAAAAGTTTCACATTCAGAATAGCGGGAGTAGGGCAGTGCATGTTTCTACGACAACCACATGTTGCCATGACGGCCGTTAGAGCAGGTAGACCAGTGGGAGTAATGTGATTGGCTGAGGTTGACACTTAATTTTTTGCAACAATAACCTGGTTGCCAGGCAGAAAAAGGGCAGAACTATGCTGATTGGCTGGCAGTGTGAAGAAAATAATCCCATCAAATCAAAGGCCCTTTCTGAATATCCATAGTTCAGTAGTCAGTACTTTTCAGTAGGAGTTTCAGCAGACTGAACCCTCGTGGTCATTCAGTGGTCATTGTTTGGGTCCACCTCAGTATACTGAACATTTCAGTATGGATACTAACTTCCTGGTTTCATGCAGTATGGATCGGATGCGTGCTTTCAGGAAATGAATTGTGTTTTACCCACAATGCTGTGCGAAATTAAAATGTAAATCGTCACGTCACGTCCGCCTCCAAATCAAAACAAACGAGCGTGGATTAATTTAATCAATTTTTAATCTAGAGTTAAAGTCCCGACTGAAATCACTACTTTAAATTAACAACAGAAAATATAACAAATATCTGCATTATTATAAAACCTTTCTCCCTCTATTTAAATAATGATTTCACTATTTAAATAATGATGTCACTATTTAAATGTGTCTTTATTTGTTTATTTTACTTTATATTCCTATTTGTATACTAAATAATGTTATTTAGTTATTTCATCTTTTACTTGATTTACATTGTGATATTGTTTTTTGTTTACCTGACTGTATATGAGCATTACTCTTCTTGAATAAAGATAAACAAAAAAAAACAAACAAAAAAAACGGGTGGATGCAGCCGGTTCGGGAAACATAAATGACGTCACTTCCTTACTGAATGAATCAGAAGACGTAGGAACAAATATCTGCCTACTGAATAGTAGATACTGCCTACTGACAGATTGAGTAGGTACTTGACAATTTGGATGCAGCATGAAGGTGAAGCAGAAGGTCAGAGGTCAGTAAGGTTGTCTGGTGATGAATCTGGAGAACATGGCGTATGCAGCGATTGGTTTGTCCGTTGGAACCATGTGACCAGATCCCTGCAGGAAGACAGAGGTCAGGTGAGCTACTACAGAGCCCCGCCCCCCAAAAACCCAAAGGGTGACATCACAAGATCAGCTGACGGTGAAGACAGCGGTGCTTACCTTGATGGTGAGGAAGGCGATGTTATCGAACTCTTTGACGAAGCCTCCGACCTGCCGACCCTCCTCGTCGTCGTAGAGCCACGGACGTCTCTGAACCTCCACCTGAGAGTGACATCACACAGGTGAGTGACATCACACAGGAGAGTGACGTCACACAGGAGAGTGACATCACACAGGAGAGTGACGTCACACAGGAGAGTGACGTCACAAAGGACAGTGACGTCACAAAGGACAGTGACATCACACAGGACAGTGACATCACAAAGGAGAGTGACATCACAAAGGAGAGTGACATCACACAGGAGAGTGACATCACACAGGAGAGTGACATCACAAAGGAGAGTGACATCACACAGGACAGTGACATCACACAGGACAGTGACATCACACAGGACAGTGACATCACACAGGAGAGTGACATCACACAGGAGAGTGACATCACACAGGAGAGTGACATCACACAGGAGAGTGACATCACACAGGACAGTGACATCACACAGGAGAGTGACATCACACAGGAGAGTGACATCACAAAGGAGAGTGACATCACACAGGAGAGTGACATCACACAGGAGAGTGATGTAACACAGGAGAGTGACATCACACGGGTGAGAAAATCTGGATGAGATGGGATTTGAACCCAGGATGCCCGCCCGGAGAACTGCACATTGGGCACATGCACCAACCACTACACTACCAGGGCCCCTTCAGGTGACCTTACCTGCTGGTGCAGAGACTCAACGAACCATTCGTCTCCCATGAAGTTGCACGCCATGTCCACGTCACCATTATACACCAGGACACGATACTTCTGCACAGAGAACAAAACACTGTCAACAAGGAAGACACCTGGACAAACAAGCCACGCCCACCTCAGGTACCATGCAGCGTTCTGATTGATGTCAGAGATGGTTTTGTGTAAACATGGAGAGTTTGTAAAAACGTTGAGAATGTGAGTGAGGTAAACAGGTGTTGCGTTCACTGACCAGCGCACTGAGCAGCTTCAGGTACTGTTTCCTGACGTCCATGTAGAGACGGCCGTAGTTCAGGTTCACCTCAGAGCTGCAACACAACACGTCCATTTTTTTAAAAACTTTATTTAAAATCTGAACTTTAACAGAAAGGCTTCATGTGTTACCTGCAGATGACCCAGTCCAGAGCTTTAGGGCTGATGTGCAGAGCACCTCTGACGAACGGGTTGTTCAGGTAGAGGGAGGAGGGGGTGGAGTTGGTGCAGGGGGGGTCCAGACGGACGTTCCGGTGGAGGGACGCCAGACCTCGTAACTTCTGCTCACACACACACAGAGAGAGAGTCAGAGGAGAACCATGACATCGCTCCACGCTCAGGTGAGAGGACTCATAGTTAAACATCAGGTGAGTACACACACCTGGTTCCACAGCTGGGTCCACTGATGACTGATGAACGAGTTCCCCAGGTCTCGGATCACCAGCTCACCTTTTTCAATACTGAAAGAAAAAGAAAGCAGAAAGTCAAACCTCACCGTGTGCACAGACACAAAACATTATCATGACAACAACAAGTCTAAAACCAAACCGCCTGTTGACAAGACAGATTTATTTTATTATATTTTTGCCAGAGCACACAGACGTTCCTTTCATTTCCTGAGGTCAAGAGGTCATGCAATGGTCAAGTTACACTGAGAGCGCCCTCTGCTGGATCAAACTGGAAACTAGACCGCCTGATGAGCTGAAGATTCTTCATTCAGACTGCAGCTTTGCAGCTAGTTCGTTTGTACATGATATTATCGGTACTGACCAATCAGGTAACGGCACCAAAAACCCTCGATAACCCTCTTTAACGAGTCAGGGGTGAAAGGTCATATCGTACCTGACTCTCTGGCGGACTCCACCTGGGCAGGGGGCGTACAGGTTGTACATGTTCAGACCTGAACTGTAGACGATGTCCTGAACCTCAGACAGCTGCAGAGCAAACAAAACATCAGGTGTGTTACCTGTGTGTGTGTGTGTGTGTGTGTGTGTGTGTGTGTGTGTGTGTGTGGACTCACGCTGAGCGAGCAGTTGTGGTTGTGGTTGTCGTAGAAGTTGCACTTCCCGCCCTTGCAGCAGAACGTCTGCAGCTCGCTCCACAGTCGACTCCCCAGCAGCCCGTGATAATACGCAAAGTAAACCAGAGAGTTATCGTTCATCTCGTAACTCGACATCCCGTTTCCCACGGCAACGCCCTGCAACACAGGTGAGAGTGTGTACCTCAGAGTGTGTATGTGTGAGTGTGTACCTCAGAGTGTATATGTGTGAGTGTGTACCTCAGAGTGTGTATGTGTGAGTGTGTATGTGTATGTGTGAGTGTGTATGTGTGAGTGTGAATGTGTGAGTGTGTATGTGTGAGTGTGTACCTCACAGTGTGTATGTGTGAGTGTGTACCTCAGAGTGTGTATGTGTACCTCAGAGTGTGTATGTGTGAGTGTGTACCTCAGAGTGTGTATGTGTGAGTGTGTACCTCAGAGTGTGTATGTGTGAGTGTGTACCTCAGAGTGTGTATGTGTGAGTGTGTACCTCAGAGTGTGTACCTCAGAGTGTGTACCTCAGAGTGTGTATGTGTGAGTGTGTACCTCAGAGTGTGTATGTGTGAGTGTGTACCTCAGAGTGTGTATGTGTGAGTGTGTACCTCAGAGTGTGTACCTCAGAGTGTGTATGTGTGAGTGTGTACCTCAGAGTGTGTATGTGTGAGTGTGTACCTCAGAGTGTGTATGTGTGAGTGTGTACCTCAGAGTGTGTATGTGTGAGTGTGTACCTCAGAGTGTGTACCTCAGAGTGTGTATGTGTGAGTGTGTACCTCAGAGTGTGTATGTGTGAGTGTGTACCTCAGAGTGTGTACCTCAGAGTGTGTACCTCAGAGTGTGTATGTGTGAGTGTGTACCTCAGAGTGTGTACCTCAGAGTGTGTACCTCAGAGTGTGTATGTGTGAGTGTGTACCTCAGAGTGTGTATGTGTGAGTGTGTACCTCAGAGTGTGTACCTCAGAGTGTGTACCTCAGAGTGTGTATGTGTGAGTGTGTACCTCAGAGTGTGTACCTCAGAGTGTGTACCTCAGAGTGTGTATGTGTGAGTGTGTACCTCAGAGTGTGTATGTGTGAGTGTGTACCTCAGAGTGTGTATGTGTGAGTGTGTACCTCAGAGTGTGTACCTCAGAGTGTGTATGTGTGAGTGTGTACCTCAGAGTGTGTACCTCAGAGTGTGTACCTCAGAGTGTGTACCTCAGAGTGTGTATGTGTGAGTGTGTACCTCAGAGTGTGTATGTGTGAGTGTGTACCTCAGAGTGTGTATGTGTGAGTGTGTACCTCAGAGTGTGTACCTCAGAGTGTGTATGTGTGAGTGTGTACCTCAGAGTGTGTACCTCAGAGTGTGTACCTCAGAGTGTGTATGTGTGAGTGTGTACCTCAGAGTGTGTATGTGTGAGTGTGTACCTCAGAGTGTGTACCTCAGAGTGTGTACCTCAGAGTGTGTACCTCAGAGTGTGTACCTCAGAGTGTGTATGTGTGAGTGTGTACCTCAGAGTGTGTATGTGTGAGTGTGTACCTGCAGGTTGAGGCTCTCGTCCTCCATCACTCTCTCGGCGAGCGTCGGGATGTAGATTCCTCCGTAGCTCTCTCCGGTCAGGAAAAGTTCGTTCTTGCTGAACTCTGGAAACAGGCGGAAGAACTCCTTCAGAGCCAGGTAGTTGTTCATGGACACCTGAGGAGAAAAAACAAACACTTGACACACCTGACAGTCAACACCTGAGAGCCAATCAGGAGCTGGCGTGTCGCTGACCTCGGTGTCGTTGGTGACGTAGTTTTGATCATCAGCGTACGAGAAGCCGACGCCTGCTGGAGACTCCAGGTACAACACGTTGGAAATCTGTTGAAGAGATGAAGAACCAATCAGCTTTGAGGAATTACACCTTTGATAACATGTGACCTCACCCACTGAGTCACCTGACGGCGAGCAGGTAAAACGTGTTCAGATTATTACTGACCTTGTTCCAGGAGTACGGGTTGTACTGCAGCGTCACACCGTCATCCTGGATCTGAAACCACAGAGGTCAGAGGTCAGCAGGTGTCACCACATACATGCAGGTGACTGACTAAAGTGGGCGGAGTCACCGGTTTACCTACCAGGAAGGGTCCGTGTTCAGTCAGCAGTCCGTCCAGAGAGCTGCAGCCTGGACCGCCGTTTAACCACAGAACCACGGGATCAGAGGACGGCTCCTTCTGAGACTCCACAAACCTGAACACAACAAAGTCAGGTGACGTGATGACACGTTACTGACGCCAAGGTGCACAGGTGTTTCCGCCAACATCCCAGGTGAGCTCGTCTTGTCTGATCTGACTCTCAGATTAACATACAGGTGAGGTGGTGCAGCACAGGGATCAGACGTGCTAACACGTAGCTCGAGCTACAGGTGTTACATACTTCCTCATGAGAACCACCTTACAATCACTAAGCACACTACGAAGAAGAGCCATTCGTAAGTAAACAATGTAGGATATTATGAACACACCAATATACTGTTTTTAAAATTACACAGCTTAAAGTTTGGGGATCTGGTAGAATTTAAGACTGCACAAATAATGTATAAAGCAAAAAATAAACTGCTACCTGTAAACATAGAAAAAGTGTTCAAAGACAGAGAGGGGGGGTTATAACTTTAGAGGGAAACTAAACTTGAAACAGCATTATGCTCGGACCAATTTAAAAAGTATGTGTATTTCCATTTGTGGGGAGGTTTTGTGGAATGGTCTTGACAAAACGATTAAACAAAGTGTGAATATAATGCAATTTTAAAAAATGTACAAAAGTTACATCTTTGAAAAGTACAGCAATGAGGAAGGAGAATGTAAATCTCACAGATGTTAATGGCGCCTGTTCATTTTGTTCTTTGTTTTGTTCTGTTTTTCTTAATAGCTCGATTGGAGTATTTTCTTTTGTATTGTCCGTTTAGTTTATTTTATTGGATTTTGCATTTGTTAATGGTGAAGAATGGTGGTAGGACTTGACAAGCCTAGGCTTCTTCCTATCCCTTTTCAAATAAGTCAAATGTGTATTATATTGAAATTGGCTTTTTTTAATTTTATACAGCTTTTTTTTTTCTCATTTGTTTATTCATTTTCATCTATTTTTAATTGTTCAAAATAAAGAATAAAAGAAAGAAGAGGAAGGACGCAGAAGTCACTGCTTTGTAAATAGATATTTACTGCGAGCTGTTTGTGCAGCCACTCCTGAGTTTCATTCATTCCTAAAACGCTTAAAATGTCAATTTGTCTCAGGTACTGACCAGTAGTGCAGGTGTTTTCCGTTGGCCACACTCAGGTATCCAGAGTACTGCTTGAAGCTCGGCTGTTTCTGCAGACCGGGCAGGTACTTCACCTCGTCTGCACCCGGAGCCGCTTCACTGCCCAGCAGTGAGAACAGGAAGTAACACAGCAACATAGCCTGCATCTGAAAAACAGAACTGAAATGTGACTCAAAGTTTAATTATATAAGTGCTGATAAAGTTTATGACACCAGCTCTGTCATGTGGAAGATCTTGTGTTTGTCAGTAAAATATATTCATACAGAGACTTTTACACACACACACACACACACACACACACAGCAATAAAAGCATAAAACACAAATAACACAATTCAGAAAACGATGCAACCAAAAGTAGTGAGGCATTAAGTTGTTTATTTGTGACTCCAAGTTAAAGATTCAAAAATTGTGTTAGTCTGGATTATTAACTTGCTTTAGTTCACTCAGGGAAGAAAATGTTTGTTTAATTACTGGATTTTAAATGAGGTTTGGCGGACAGGGCCAACCTTTAATACAATCCAACCAGCAAAGAAACTGCTGTCCAGTTTGAACCTTGATGCTGGGTTGGTGAAACGGGTCTTGGACTTTTCTAACTTGCAGGCCTCAGGCAGTCAGGGCGACTGGTGCTCTATCTGAGAAGCGGCTGTCACCCACAGGCTCACCCCAGGGGTGTGTCCTGTCCCCTTTATTCTATATCCAAACGACTGCAGCAGCACCTATGACAACAGGCTTCTCCTGAAGTTTGCAGACGACACTGTTCTAATCAGTCTGCTGCAGGATGGAGAGGTCGATCACGGGCCTGTTGTGAAGGAGTTTGTGGAGTGGTGCGACCACCACTTCTTAAAGATCAATGTTCAAAAAAACAAACGGTCAATACAGCCAGTAAAACAATCGGCACTCAGCAGCTTTCAGAAACCTAAAACAGACAAGTTGTTAGGAAAGCAAAGTCTATCTTGTCCAGCTCTGACCGTCCTCTCTTAGAGGAATCTGTTCTTCTCCCCTCAGGTCGGAGGTTCAGGCTGCCCAGGGCTAAGACAAACACATTTAAATGTTCACATGTTCCTCGTGCAGTTCATGCTCTTAATCTTCTTTAAATCCTTGACTGCACTTTCAGCAGAGCTATTGGACTTATATTTATACCATTTGAGTGAACTTTTATATTTCTTGGTTTATCTCATCAGGTTGTGTTGTCTTATGTCTGTTTGTGTCCTCTGCTGCAATCAAATTTCCCCTTCCAGAGACAATAAAGATCTGAACTGAGGACATAGAAACAATCCCTGCAAACTTCAACACGAGGTGAAGGAAACACTGCGATCAGACTGGTCCAAGTAGAATCACTGACTGATCAGTGTTCTGAGTCGTGAAATAGAAGTTTTCTTTGAATGATGATTTAGTGATGAAAACGCTTCATCAGCAGTCTGAGGTTTTAAGTGACCAGCAGACAGAAACTCATGATTTCTAAGAGGAAGTAAAGACTGAGATTGATTTTCTGTCAGCCGAATTCAGCATAAAGGGGTTTACATTCAGAAACAATACAAAGCGTGTTCATAATATCTGTTTAATTTACTCGTTGGGGAAACAATGTTTAATCCCGTGTTAACTGGGTAGTTTTGGTAGACACAGCGCATGCGCACAGAACAGGTTAGAGTTAGTTGAAGCTGTTGTTTTACCGCCACACTGACTAACTGCTCATATAATCGACTAAAAGAGAATAATAATATTCTTAACACAGTTTAAAACTCACTGAAGATAGTTCGTGTTCACCTTTATAACCCGGAAGTAGGCTAGCTCAGGCTAAGTGCTACACAACAACACGTTTAAATGACGTAACAAAGAAACAGCCTTTGAAGATTTAGAAACAAAGAAAGATTTAAAACTCAGAGACTCACCTCGTCGGTTGTGTTCAGCTGGCTCAGCAGCAGGAAGAGTGTGTGAGAGCAGCTGCCGACATAGCAATAGCAACAGCAGGTCATATGACCACAGCCAATCACGTGATGGATAGACCCTGTAATGTCAGTCTCACCACCAGAGGGCGACCTCTCCTCAAAATCACGAAACTCAAGATAATAATAATAAATTTATTTATAAGCGCTTTCAAGGACACACCAGACACTGTACCAACGATCAACATTTTAAAACAGCGATGGATAAAAAACAGCAAACAATAAAGAAATGAAATGTTGGACAGTTTGCAGTTAAAATGTTAGAGTGAGACGGTTGATGTTTCGTAAGTGGAAGTATGCAGACCGGGTAATGTTACTGATATGGGATTTGAATGATAGTGTGCTGTCGAGGATGACACCCAGACTCTTACCTGAGGGGAAGGGGAAACTGAGGAGCTGTCAATAGTGAGGGAGAAACTGCCAACTCTGGATAATATGGATTTAGTGCCGACGAGAAGGATCTCGGTTT